TTTGCACGTTTCGTCCGTATTCATCTGTTCGATAATGTATGGCGAACTGCCAAACTTGTCGCGAATGACCTGGATGTAGTCGGTGGAGCAGTCGATGGTTTGCATGTCAGCGTTGATGTTACTAGTGCCAGGGGAGCATTTTGTGGCCGTACAGTCAGTCGTAGTGGAAGCGTACACCGCGTAGGGGGTACCATCACATTGGTCACCGAGGTAGGACGCTGAAATTTTGTATAACGTCGCCGCTAAGGACGTCTGGAAGGTCTGAACAGCTAATAGCGCTACTATAGCTAACGCCCACCGAGGCATGGTACCGTGACCTTTTGAGACGAGTTCGCAAAGGAGACAGTGAATTCAAGAGTGAGACGTCGAGCGGATGGTGCTCCTATCGGAACATACGGCGCTCTCTTTCTGCTGTTCGCGCACTGGTCATGCACGTTGAGTGGGGGGTGCGAACGGATTTGTTGTCGCCCCGCGCCATGAAAATTAATCCATCGACGAGGCAGATTCAACAGAAATGCACATGCATTCGTACAGTCAGCTTTAACTAGGTTTCAAAATGCACCCACGTCGTTTTCTAATATGTTTCAAATGGAAATAAAATTGTACAGTACCAAGAGCGGGATAGAAACCGTAAATAATCACCTCATGTAACGATAAACTAATAAAGGGTATAATAAGACAAAGTTCTGTATTCGAGTCGTGGAGACTGGATAAAATCCATCGTCGATCGTCTATGAAAGTGGAACGACGACGGTACATCGCCAAAGTGAATTCAGCAGGAAGGCACCACGGGCCGTGGCTCGGCACTGGACTACTTACACGAGCTCCTTGGCTAGAGCTAGTTGGAGCCTGTACAATGCCTCCGCAGCGGTGGGTCTATCTCCAGGATCTACGGACACACAAGCATGGCCGAGGTTCACGATTGACCGCGGACTGAAATACGAAAACTCGACGCGAATTTCCCCCGTTGCCACTCTCTGCAATAGACTGGGGTCCGTTAGTTCACGCCCTTCAGACTCCCGTGCTTGAGCGTATGGAAGCGTGTGAACGTCCAATTCCGACAACACCACCCCAAATGAAAACATATCCGCCTTCTCGTCATACCTTCCGCCCAGCATCACTTCGGGTGCCAGCCAGAGCGACGTTCCAACACCTGCGGTCATGGTTTCATCCAGTCGTTGGCGCGAGATACCGAAATCGGACAATTTTGCCTCCATCGCTCCATTCAGCAGTATATTTTTCGACTTGAGGTCTCGATGAATTATGGGAGATGCTAATGAGTGCAAGTACGCCAGAGCATGGCAAACATGGAGAGCTATGGCGGTCTTTTGGCGGTCAAAACCAACGTGGTGGTTGGAAGCCTCATACTTGTTCAATAAAGCTCGGAGATCACCACCCTCCATGAATTCCAGGGCGACACATAAATCGGAGAGAGAATCCCAGGCAACTCCTATAAAGGGCACGATATGGGGGTGATCCATCGTGGCAGTGATCTTGGCCTCAGTGAGGAACGCATTGACATGCTGAAGACTGGTGCGTGTGGAAGATGGCAACATTTTAACTGCCACTCGTCGCTGGTAGAAAACTCCACTGTACACTTCTCCAAACGCCCCGCGACTCAGAAGTTTTTTCACTTTAACCTTGTTTCGAGGGATCCGCTTGGCAGTGATGACCTCGTCGTTCCAGAGTCCTCGTTGCCCACTCACTGTATCACGGGATATTGGGCTGGTAGTTCTCGTAAATCGTTCATCTGCACGCATCGCTTGAGATCGACGCTTGCAAAAGCAGATCGCGAATATAATGGCAATAACAATAATAACCGCTGCGACGATGATACCCGCCAAAGCACCGCTACTCAAACTGCTGCTCCTGTTCTCGGTAGCGATTGATCCACTGGAGCTGTCGTAGCTACTGGTACTGCCAACAAGCCCAGACTGGGACGATATGTCTGGGTCGTTGCTGCTGTACCATCGATACGAACTCACCGTATTAGCCGAGTCCGTCGTAAAGAAATCATACAGCAAGCTGATCTCTCCCAAGTGAACACAGGAGTGGTTGGCGAGAACTTCCTTATCAGCGGCGACGACCCCAGCGCTGGCAGATGAGCACGAGCTGTCTCCCTCCATTGTCTCTGTCGATCCTGCGTTGATAAAGTAAGGGATCACCGTGGCTGATCCGTCTGGATTTAAGCTGCTTTCGTAGTATAGACCGGCGGATTGGTTTCCTCCGAGACAAGTATTCGTGGCTAGAAAGCCAACTGCGTACTCAAAAGTGGAGCAATCGTCGTCCGAGTACAATTCGTGGATAATATAAGGTGAGTTGTTATAAAATTCTCGCATCACGCGCAAATAATCTTCTTCCGAGCAATCCGTCGACGCGCGCTCGTCCACTGCGTAGGCGCGATTATCCACCAAGTAAGTGTAGCAAACCCCGTCGGTACATCCTCCGTTTTGTCTCGCGTACACGATGTAAGGTTCGGTGCTGCTGCAGTTCGTGTCGAGGTAGGTAGCCATGATGTCGTACGTCGTCGCTTCAACGAGGTGGACAAGCAATACCAACACAAGAAGACCCACGAGTAATATCGCCATGACAGCCATGAAGCTTTGGCGCGTTTGAGGGAAATGTCTGACTGGAATTGCGCTAGTAGACAGCCGGCTAGCGATGAAGGAAGTGACGGACCTCAAGGAGACGATGAGGGTAGAATCGTAGAATACAGTGGTAATTCCTGACAGCCAATCGTGAGTGACGGAGTGATACGGTATCACCTGGAAAAGGTACTTTACCATCACCAAGTAAGCTTTGACCTGTGTCCGATATAACCAACGGATATAAAAAAGCTGGACCATGTTTTCCACACGCACACCCCAGCGGAATCAGAGATGATATTGACGAGATTAAGTTGGTTGTACGTTGACTCGATGGCCTCTTAAATCTACATGTAGTACAGAGAGCCATGGATTTCACACGGAGATACAAACACGATAACACGCAGCAAACCACTAATACTGCCTGCATTGTAGCATTCACTCCTAGGGGGCGACACCAATAGGTACGCTTAATCCTCCGTTCTCCCCCTCGTTCTCTCGTTATGTACAAGAGACCAATACAGTACTGCAGAAAAACTAATGTACAACATTTACTCAGTTGGGATATGGACCTCGAGCACTTTCATGTTTGGGTACAGATTGTACACTGCAAGAACCTCATCACCTTGACGAACGGCAAGATGATCTGATAGTCAATGTCGAAGCATACGTGTACATGTAAGCAAAAACTGCAAGCCAAGATGTCTTGATTGCGACAACCAATTGGCGGCAGAATCGTTTAGTGTTGGCGGCTGCATTTCCACATTACCCCATAAACCAAAAAGAAGATATTTGTTCATTGACGAGAATACACTTTCTTCTCTTTTAAAGTACAAGCTCAGAGGCTCAATCGATCATGGAGGCACTTACCTACCTATTGTGCCCACTGTGATTAAGATACTTTTTAAGCAAAGAGGAAACTCTTTAAAACGGCAATTCCAAGGCAGCTATTCATCGTCCCCTTAAAAACACAGCCTCGGTACTTACGGAATGTAGACTAAAAGACGAAATCTCCACCCGGACTTGCCCTCTCGTCAATTTACTTGTACGGTAGTTTGCCTGTAAGCTTGTTAGGGAAAAGATGCACCAGAGGTTGACTACTTAAGTACATTATTGGCAATCCCATGTGGCTCACATAATGTATCCATGTCTGCCTTCATTCGCACTTAGTGTGCCGCTCAGCCGTCACCAACCACCAAGAGCCACTGACCAAAGTGACAGGCATGGCGCGCCGAGCTCCTGCACGCAAGGGCAAGAAGGCCGCATCGACTGCCAGCAAACCCACAACCAAGCGCAAAGGCTCTAAATCTCGTGCATCCAAGGACGTTTTCAGCGATGATGAGGAACAGGCAGCGCACGAGGAGCGCACCATGAACGCCCGTGCCGATGTGGACGAAGTGTTTGAGTACGAGGAGCCCACATTTGACCAGGAAGACTCGGAAGTGGACGAGGATGAGGCGTTCAACAGTGATGATGAGGCTGAATACGGAATGTTCTTCAATAAGAAAGAGAAGGAGCAAGAAGAAGACGAGGAAGAGGGAGGAGACCTCCTCTCGGACCTTTTAGGCACAACACCAGCTACTCGTCTCTCCACTGCCAGTGACGATGAAGAAAATGAAGAAGACAAGATCAAAAACTTAGGAGAAATGGTTGATTCTCTTGTAGAGAAGAAGAGCAAGAAGAAGCTCGAAGAGATCGACTCCCAATTCGCCAGTGAATCCGCAGAAGGAGAACTGACTCTAGGCAGTCTCTTGGGCGCTCAAACACTCAAGCCTGGAGCGGAGGGCGCAGAGGAGGAAGAAGCGGACGAGAAAACTAAGACTGGACTCGATCTGCGACGTGTGAGGCAGCAAGTTCGTGAACTGGAGGGTGACGGCACGACGCTGACGCTTCAGGCCAATAGAGAACCTGTACACGATGCCCGGGCTCAACGCAAACTCGCATACTCAGAGAAGAGCAAGGAAGTGGACATTTTTGAGCCCGTGGTGCGTCGTAACAGGAACAAGGAGACGCTGGATCTCCGTATACAGGCTCCGAAGCTCGAGAAGCTCACGCCAGCTGCTTTAGCCAGCAAGTTTGTGGCCCAAACCGACTTGGAGAAGAGCGTGGCAGCCTTGCTACAGGCTGGAGACTTGAGTGACAAGAAATTGGCTCAAGACGAGGAAGAAGAGCTGGCTCGTAAGCGTGTATCGACCGAGGAAGTGGCTGCGCGACAGAAGGAGCTGGCCAAGCTGCGCTCGCTGTTGTTTTATGAGGAGCAAAAGAAGAAACGTGTCAAGAAAATTAAGAGCAAACTCTACCACAAGATCCGCAATGCGCAGGACAAGAAGGCGGTGGCCAAGCAGAAGGAGGAACTGCGAGCGCTGGACCCGGAATTGGCTCGTAAGCTGGACGAGGAACTGGCTGAGAAGCGCGCTGAGGAGCGTCTTACACTCAAGCATCGCAACACCAGCAAGTGGGTCAAGCACCAGCTTCGTCGTGGTATCCAGGCGGATGACGCGACGCGCAGTGCGATCGCCGACCAACTTCGTCGTGGTGAAGAACTGCGGCGTAAGATGAACGCGGTGGACAGTGACGACGATATGGATGACGACGACGACGACGAGGAAGGCGATGCGGCTTCTAGACTGCAGAAGCGGCTGGAGAAACAGGCCAGTGCTTTGGTGACGGAGATCGACGAGGACTCTGCTGAAGCAGGCAAGAAACGCGGTCTACAGGGCATGAAATTCATGCAACGTGCAGCGGAGAAGCAGAGAGAGAAGGCGCGTGTGGAAGCAGAGAAGCTCCTGCGTGAGATCCGTACAGGTGAAGGTGCTGATGGAGACCGTGTGTTGTCGGACGGGGAGGATTATCTCAGCTCAAGTGACGAGGCTGAGAAGAAAAGCAAGAAGACAAAGAAGAAGGTGGTGGTCACAGAACAGGACAAGACTGCGGTGGATCGTGCTCTTTCGGGTGCGCTTCAGACGGCTAACGTGAGTATGAGTGGTGGTGTATCGGCTCGTGCTTCGGGTGCGATTTCTATTGACCTTGGAGAGGGAGGCAGTGGCGTTAAGCTGACGAATGACAAGAAACAGAGCAAGGAACTGGAGCTTGGTGCTAAGGAGAAGGCTGTTGAGACGCAAGCAAAGACTGACACTGAAGACGCTGACATGGAGTCTGCAGAGGGCGAAGAGAACCCGTGGCTGTCGAGTACAGCTATCAAGAGTAAACGCAACAAGAGGAACAAGAAGAAGAACCTGAACAAGGGTGCACAGGCGGACGTTGCTGCTGCAATTGAGTCTCTCGCTCAAGACACGAAGGAACCAAGTAAAGACTCAGCTATCGCTACTCTTACCAACTCAAAGAACAGCAAGAAGCGGAAACTGGACCAATCCAAGACCGAGACTAAAGAACCTGAGACTTCAACTGGTAAGAAGAAGAAAAAAGCCAAGAAAAATGCTAAATCTACCGACCAGGACGAGCTCGTACGTCGTGCGTTCGAGTTTGTGGCCGACGAGGAGGATGAGCTTGCTGTGGAGAAGGATCGGCTGGCGAGTCAGGATGCTGATGCCAAGAAGGGCGCAGAGATCGCCAAGCTCGTGGGAATGTCTGGATGGGGCAGCTGGGCTGGCGATGGCGTTCGTGTGTCCAAGCGCCAGATTGCGCGTGAACAACAAGCCAAGGAAATCGCTCGTGAGGCGAAACAGAAAGCTCTGGCCGGTCGTAAGGATGCTCGTCTTGAACGAGTACTGATCAACGAGAAGAAGGACAAGAAGGCGGCCAAATATACGGTCAAGGACGTGCCGTACCCCTTCACATCTCGTGAAGAGTACGAGGCTGCGATGCGTAACCCTCTGGGTAGCGACTGGAACACTTCACAGGTGACGAACGTGTTGACGGCTCCCAAGATCATGAAGCACGCTGGTACGGCCATTGCGCCGCTTGTGCTGTCTAAGGAGGACCGCAAACAAGCCAAGAAGGAGCTGAGCTTGAAGCGCAAGGCTAAGTTCTAAGGAATAGAGTTTGCATTTTTTGTTTACATGTATGAACATGTTATGTCTTTCATAATTAACGCCAGCTGGTATATGTAGTTGCTAGTACCATCATTGCTAATGACGTGAATGGTATCGTCATAGTCATAGCGTCTGAAGAATGCACCGTAGTCACTGTCTTGGACGCTGTAGTTACGGGCGCATCGTCGACGCCGTTCTCGGCTGCAGAGACCCGGCCGACGAAGAAGTCCATGGACGAGTTGGTGGAGACGAAGGAAGGCTGTTTCCCGTCCTTCATCTCGATAGAATCCGCCTCCTCGGTGTCTAAGATCACAGTAAAGTTGTCCATGACCGTGACTTTACTGGTGGTGATCGCCTTGCCCATATATTTCGTGAACGCAGAGTACGTCTTGGACTTGCCGTCGTACGGTTTGCCCGCCGCTTTGGCGAAATTCACGTTCCGTCGCCAGGTCATGAGCTCGTCGAACTTTGCAGCCGTCGGGGCGTCGACGCCGTGCCGCAACGCCACCGAGTAATATAGGATCGTCTCGCACGCAGCTCGCATTGCCAAGTCGTCGAGAATACACGGAGGCATGTTGAGCAGCACGACGGCGGTGATGATGCCCATACAGGCGTTGGAATTCACCAGTCCCGTCACGATAGTCGCGTCCGGTATGATACCTGTGTACGGATATAGCTGGTAGTTGCTGTCGGCGACGCACGTGTCGAACGTGGCGTCATTGGCCTTGAAGAACTTCCTCACAGTCGTCACCATGCTGCTGTCGCAGTCGTAGCTGTCGACCAAGGCGAAAGTCTTGGACCCCACCGCTGCCTTGTTGATATTCTTCAACTCCTGTAAAGTTCTCGATTGTCCGGTAGTGGACACCTTGGTATCAGCTCCCTTCACGAGAGTACATACCAGTCCCAACGCCGTCACCAACAGCGCGAGCGCTGAAGAACGCATTGCCGCCGCTAGAAGCGAAATTTCGCGAGTGGAGACAAACGCAAAGCACAATTTCGGTCCTGGAAAGGTGATTCAGATGGGACCGCTTGGTTGCACGGAGTAAAGTCGAGCCGCTCAACCATTTTATTCCACAGGATAGTGTATCCATGGGAACTTCCGGGTCGGGAATCGAGGGCAGATCACTTGTCAAACAAGTTGACTTGAGGACTGCGTGAACTTCACGGTGAAGTACATTTGAAGAGCCGGTAAAGTTTCCTAGAGAATAGCATAGCGCTGATTCTGAGAAGCCGGAAAAATGCAATTTGTTGCACACGCAGTATGGGGGGACACAACTCGTCAAACAGACTGCGCAGCAACGTTATGCTGTTCGTTCAGATCACGGCTTTTTGCTTACCGCGATCAGAGAATTTCGATGTACTACCTCGTATCTTTCGGTGTCATTTGAGTCGGTTAACAGCGAAGTATTCACGTTTTCAACTGCAACGAAAATGCATTACGATACGTTATGCAACTACTGTAGCATTGCTAAGACCGTTACGGTGATCATTAGAGAATGACTCCAATTGAGTTGAATCGAGGCACTAGTCGAAGCAGCATCGGAGGTGGAAGTTTTCTCGGTTTCAAGAGCTCCAGAATTTTCTTTACCGTCCGACTTTAGCTCTGCGTGGGTCACAACAGCACCTGACGAAGTAGACGAAGCCAACAGCGGCCTTACCGTAGCTTCCGCTGTGTATTCAGTCATGACCTTGCCACTGCCGGAATCGCGTAGCTCAGGCATATTGGGCATTGTGACGATTTGTTCCTGGCTAAATGATCCGGCTGTCGTGGAACGGTATTGGACTTCCTTGTCTGCCGCCAAGCGGACCAACCCGTTGGTAGTGATTGTGTACAAATTGCTGGTATACTCAGCATAAAGCTTCGATTCCGAATCACAAGGAAGACCTGCAGCGTGGGCGAGGTTCACGTCGCGACGCCAGTGCATCATCTCGATGAATTGATCCGTGGACGCAACGACGTTGTTTGAGTTGGGATACTTGTCGATATCGACACCAATCTTCAGTAAAGTCTCGGCAGCGGAACGGATGGGAAGGTTAGACAGCTCACACTCCGGTATACCAGCAAGGATTATTGAGGTGAAGATAGCACGGCAAGCGAGCGAGCGGGACATAGCACCAATTTGCTGTTGCGTCGGGTGTTTACCGGAGAACGGAAAGATCTTGTACTGACCCTCAGACACACACGTTTGGAATACCATGGTGTTTTTCGCGTAGAGCTCGTAGACGATCGTGACCACCGAGGTGTCACAGCTTTTGTCGTCTACCAGGGCGAACGTAGCGGACTGTGGGGCCGCAGATGCGATTGGGGCCAGCACGAATGTTGCATTTTGAGTTTCTTGAGCACTTACGCAGGAAACATGAAGTACGACGAGGAATACGCGCAACATGGCGTGAAAGACACTCATCACGTTGAAGTTGTACGACTGGAAGCGATGCCGTGATCTCGGTAGTAAAATCTCAAATGGCACCGCGAAAAAGAAGCTTCACTTGTTACTATCCATAAGCCTGCCGGTGGATTCCAAACAACTGGAAAGCCTCTCTACCAACGAGCAACTGCGATGTAACTCTCTGTTATTAGTCCCAATCGCAAATGGTGACAAGGAGCATTACGGAGATACCATGCCTTCGGATAAGGACACCATAGCTACCCGTTTAATACACGTGAGCGAGCTTATCGCTGAAAAAAAAAATCTTTGAAGATACAAACAACGATCTTTACGTTCCCATTGACGCAGACCACGCTACTACAACTCCATTTCACAACACCTACTGCAATATACCACCAAACTGTGGGTATGCTACTCGACGCTATGCAAGCACGAAGATCATCACAGCTGCCAAGAAAACCGATTGAGGCTTTTTCCAACTCGAGGACCCAGCGCTGCTAGCTCTTGCTTCAGCCGGTGGAATGCCCGGTACGGTATCGGGGTTCTCTACCACAATGGTATCGTTGGACGTAGCTGCTGAAGCTGAGCCGACGCTCCCACTAATACTACCGGAGCCACGCAGAATCGGCAACTCCGGGACTGCCATGATCATCTCTTGGCTGAACGCGGTGTCCACGTCGGGTCGGTATTCCACCTTCAAGTCCGTCGTCAGACGCACCAAACCATCCGTCGCCACTGTGTACAAGTTGCTGGCGTATTCCGAATACAATTCTGACTTAGAATCACTGGGGAGCCCTGCAGCTTCAGCGAGGTTGACATCACGTCGCCAGTACACCAAATCCACGAATCTTGGAGTGCTTGGAATTACCGCAGGGGACATTGGGTAGTTTCTAACGTCGACTATGATCTTGAGCAGGGTCTCACTTGCAGCACGGAGTGGAGAGCCGCCCATGTTGCACTCCGGGATACCCGCGAGCAATGCTGAGCTGAAAAGCGCGCGGCAAGCGAGTGAGCGAGCCATATATCCTATTTGTTCTGAGGTTGGGTAGGTTCCGTCGAATGGAAATAACTGGTACTTGGAATCGGTAGCACACGTCTGGAATACCATTGCATTGCGCTCGTAGAGTTTGTAGATCGTCGCAACGGTTTTAGGGTAGCACTCGGAGCTGTTGACGAACGTAAATACTGGAGAATCTGGCGAGGCTTTTGCAATGGGGGCAGGCTCGAACACTGCACGAGGCGGGCCTTGGGCGACTGTTTCAACAGCGAACAGCGTTAACAAAAGCACGACCAGCGTCGAGTGTACAACGTTCATCGTTGCTAGCAGTCCGAAAAAGCACAACTGACACGCTCGGTGATTGAACCGGCCACCAGTTGCAGTCAAGTCTTGACCATATTGTCGTCGATTAACAGCTCGACAAGACTGGTTACAGCAGATGGATCAGGACCTGTTTGTCCTGCATCAATGGCCACAATAACAATGCTGCCATGTGCAAATTACGTCAACACCAACCTGCTTAGCGCAGTAAAAATCAATCGGATAAGAAGATCGTGTGGTGAAGGGTAGGAATCACAAGTCCACGACGATGATGGAATAAAATTGAAAATAATAGAAATTCAAGAAGTACCTACGCTGTCACGAGTAGCGTGCCGAGAAGCAAGCTTGCAGCAGTGACAACAATTCCATTGACCGCGGACAGTGCTGCGCTTGAGTTCTCCTCGACGTTACTAGCCTCACTGTCGCTCGCTTCGGAGTTACCATCGCCAGTAGAGACCTTACCTACTGTATCTCCCTCACTACCGCTTCCAATTGTAGCAAAGTCGTCACCATCGGCGTCATACCATGAACCGCTAGCCAGTTTGTACTCGATCTGGTAGTTCGACAGCACGCGAATAGAGCTGTTACTGCGTGCAACGTTCAGGTTCTCCTCATATTCCGCATATAATTCCGAGCCCGAATCATAAGGCACATCAGCTTCCTTGGCGAGATTAACATATCGACGCCAGGACATCATCTCCTGGAACCGATCAGCACTGGGCGATGGAGCGTATCCGTATGTTATATCCACGTGGATCTTAAGCAGAGTCTCCACCGCCGCCTTCAACGGGAATCCAGATATCGTACACTGCGGGAAATCCGCAAGTAGAACACCAGTGAAGACGACGTCGCAGGACGTGGACGTCGCCATTGACTGCACCTGAGCAGCCGAGGGTTCCGTCCCGAGGAAAGGGAATATCTGGTACTGCGCGTCCGACACGCACAAGTCAAAGAGCGCGCGGTTCTTGTTGTAGATGACGTAGATCATACTGGATACGGTGCTGTTACAGTCAACGTTGTCTACGAGCTGGAAGGTGGTGGAAGTGGATGAGGGCGTGTTAATCGGCGCTAAAGTCACCTCTGTTGAGCTCGACGACGAAGTAGACGAAGCAGAGGGTGAAGTGGTCATTTCGGTCTGAAATTCCACAGAGTCGTCAAGTGATCCAGACCCCGAAGCGCTGACTTGGACGACTAGGAACGCCAACAGCAGCGTGAAAACCGACGCAACTGTCATGATTGAGAGCTTTTGACACTCGAAGAATGCGTGTGTGGTGCCACCGAAAACAGAGCTTTGCGATAGGCGTCGGAAAATTAGGAATTGAGCCTGGGAAGACCAGAGCACCGACCAGAGAGGGTGAGTCACAGAGACATGGAGGTGATCTGTATTGACCAGCGACTGCGTCATGACTTGACATTTGACCAAAGAATTCAGAATCAAGTCGGAACAACCTGGAAACATGTAATTGTTTGCTATATAGGATGACAGGTTTATGAGGTAAGGAAATCATTTGTACGAAAACTATATGCTTTCGTTGGATTCCAATTAAAGCCATAATATCAAATATTGGAGAGTGAAGAGAATACCTTTCTCTTGCCAAATTGAAGCCGTTGGTTCACATGTGAGACCACCACGATGGCCTCGACACTGCCGAGCATTGTAGTTCGATCTCATTTCCCAATACGCAGACCTTTCAGCTCACTTGGCTCCCAATAACTCTCTTGCATTGGCTCGAGTTCAATCTCTCTTCACCAGCTTCATCTATCGATCTTATTGCCCGATGCAGTTCGACGTACATGTATCGCGTTGATCTCCGGTAAAGTCGAGGCTCGCCGTCATCCACTTCATCTAGACAACGGTTGGCTGGCAGTCAGCGAATACGTTGCACCTTGCGTTTGTGAGTATGGCAACGTCGGATCACAGTTGTGATAATAAATTTTACGTTGTGTTTCATGTTATTCGTCCAGCAAACACGGTGGATACGACTACAGCGACTACAACATGTAGACTCCATAGAGTAGGGGCGCAGCGCGCTGTAGCGACCGACGACTCAATGACGACTCCCGTTGTGCTGCTAGAAGATGACGATGGGCCGGTAGCACTACTGGCGACCACGTATCCAGGACCCAAGTCAGCAGCACTGGCGTCTGTCACAATGAGATCGATTGCATCCTCAAAAGTCTCATACGTTCCATCCGACAGGTGAACGTCCACCGATAGGTCCTCATTTACGCGGATCGTGGTGTTCTTGAGTGCAGTATCTATGTTGGTCTCAAACTCGGCATAAAGCTTTGAACTGCCGTCATAAGGTACACCCGCAGCTTTTGCGAGATCAACTGCATACCGCCAAGCCACAAGCTCCTGGAATTCGTCGGCGGAAGGAGCTTCATCCTCGATACTTTGCTCTAGATCCACACTGATCTTCAGTAAGGTTTCGACGGCACTAACCAGAGGCATCCCACCGATTGTACAGGCCGAGAAATTGGATTGGATCACGACGATAAATACAGCAACACAGGCATCAGACTCCGCCATGTACTGGACCTGCGTTTGAGTCGGATGCTTACCCTGGAACGGGAAGATCTGGTAATTCGACGCTGACACACACAAGTCGAAGGCGGAGCGGCAGTTCGAATACAAAGTGTAGATGTTATCCACTTCCTTCTCGCTGCATTCAACGCTAGCGACAGACTGGAACGTCGATGAGTCTGAACCTGGTTTAGCGATGGAAGCCTCGTCCTCCTCCGAGTCATCACTACTGTTGATCTCAGAAGTTTCACTGTCGCTAGACGTCGAGAAGCTGCCTGAACTGCTGGATTCGAAGCTGGAGCTTGTTACAATTAAAGGGGCGCTTGTTACAGTGGTTGCCTGCATCGTATCCGAAGCCGAAGCGATGGGCTCTTCCGACTGAGAGGAGCTAGGTTCAATTGGAGCAGCTGGTTCAAGCGTGGTCGGTGTTGTGGTTGTTGGTGTTGAGATAGCTGTCTCTGTCGGAGGTTGTGTAGTTGTCACCGGTTGCTCTGTGCCCACCGATTCGATGGTTGGCGTCGCAGTTGTTGCAGTAGGAAATTCAATAGAAGAAGCGATCCCGTATGAGCTCGAAGCACTGAAAACACTTCCTTCCTCGACACTGTCTGCTGTACTTGGCGTGAAAGTCTCGGATGCTACTTCAGTCGCAACCCGCGCTTGCTTGGCTGCATGTCCTCGTACGCTGTGACTCGACTCGTCGCAGTCAGAAACTACGTCACGGCTCGCAATCGCAGCCAGCAGCACCACCAGAGACCAAGTCGAGAAGAGCCGCTTGGTACGCATCGTGACTGCACGTTGAAGCAGAAGACGACGCACGCCGATTTACTCGACCGATAGAGAAAATGGAACTGTGACTTGTGTCCTAGCGCCATGTACATCGGTGATGTCCATCCAAGGAAATCTGATCGATGATCGGCCATCCCATGGGCTCGTCGCTTACGCGTATGTAGTGTACACTGTACACATTCAAGGAGCCGGTGATATTCGCGATACCAACGAAACTTGGTTGACGCAATGGAAGCTGAGGTACTGGTCAACGTGGAGAAGTAGTGATGCAAAAAGCACCAGCACTCCTTTCCCCCAGCAGCATGTGCCTTTTGGTCTTGTTTATCAGAGTAACACACTGCAAAAGACGATGTAATTGATGGTAGATGTACTTCCAGGATTGGATTTCCTGCTCGAGTCCAGCTGGCATGGGATATGAGCACCTTGGATACACAGGAGCTTCACCTCGAGCAAGAGCAATTGTAAGCACCTTCGATGCCTGCCCATTATAATAATGGGCTCATTCGTTATCGTGGGCGAACTTCATGTGGTGCACAATTTTGCGGACGGAAAACGTTGGAAATGCCGACTGCAGACAATAGCAATGCATCTGCTCGGCCTGCTCTAAGAGAAGTGCTCTTCGAACGAGTGGCGGCGAAGACAAACAGTAGCTATTTGATTTGAATTACGCTGTCTCCCTTCATCGTGCACCGACAGGTTTAATGACCAACTCGAAGAAATAAAGTACCACGATAACCTTTATCTTCCGGCTCAAGTTTAGCCGAGCGTGCAACTGATTCGACCTTGATCATAACTGTGAAAGTATCGTAGCTGTTGTGACCTGATCAAGGGACAAGTAGTTTAACTCAATTTCCAAAGAGTTACGCAACGCAGCCTTTCGCTCGTTAATATTCTCGAAAACACAAGCAGCTCCCGAACGTTATTGGCTAGAGCGTTCTACTTCGTCATCGTCGCTAGGATTTCTTCGTCGTTGAGTAAAATCGTGGTTAGATCACGGATTCCAGCGTCCATCTGCAGCACCTTAACACAAAAGTCTTGCCACTGGCGCTCCAGTAACGATCGGGCAGATAATGCAGCTTCCATCGTGTAGGATACCTCCAGCAGTTCCTGGAATTCTTCATCCCTGTCCGTGTCTTCAGTATCCAGACAGCGCAGTCGGCTCTCCAGCTTCTCTTGCAATGCCACCACTTCTTCTCCACTTCGTTCGAGCTTTCCGAACTTCTCCACTAATCTGCCGTGGGGAACGTTTGAAAAATCTGTTCCAGAAGACTGTTGCAGAAGGATATGGTATGTTTTTCCGCAGCGTGATAGTGAAAGGAAAACCTGTTTTCAGAGGAGAGAAACGAGTGGACAACATCAAGCAGCAGAAGGATGAATCCCGGTGTAGTCTAGCCAGTCTTTGATTTTCCAGAAACCCACCACAACCCACCACAGGGCGAGCCACAGCTCTAAGCTATGGCCGTCGTCGATCAATACAACTATTCCGCTCTTCGTGAGCGTGGCCCCCAAGTTCGTCTACTGCTCGACGATGAAATCAGTGTTTGCCTCCCTTTCCACTGTTGCGCAAAAATCACCGCTAGTTTAGCGTCGCGGCGAGTCTTCTCCTTCTTAATAGACCCCATCAACTCTTTAATATCTTGAAGCTGCTCCGTCGCCTCGGTACTATCCGTCGTTGCCATGCTTTTATCGTGTTCATCGAGTCCTCGACCGCCAATTCATTCAGAGAAATTTACTCGACCAACCGTGTGTAGTCGTCGATCGGACCCTTGCCAAAACGCCAGGTAAATTCAATCGCCTTCACATGTATTTCAGTTGCCGCAAGGAGAATTTCTGCATTGCTCTGCTGGTTTTCAACCTCGAAAATAATTGTTTTGCTAGCAATGTCTTCCACAATATACCTGTGGCTGTTGTCCTCAGTTGGTTGGCTTTCAACTACCGCCTGTTCTCCGTTCGGATCACCGGTAATTTGCGAGAATTCAACTCGATTTTCATCGGTTTCTTCGCCGCGTACATGTATGCCGTCATATTGTGTGAGATATCCACTTGAGCTTGGAACTGCGGGGCTGGTAGTACATGTAAAGCTACGTGAGTCGTCTCCAGTCTGGTTGCGTAGCCTTTTCACTTCTTTCTCGAGTTTATCCACTCGAACTTGCTGCTGGTTCACTTTCTGAACTAACTTCTGCGTTCATACGCGCACGTTTTGCGGTAGCTCAGTTGTGTCATACAGGCTTTCGAGAGGAGAATCTTTTGGCGAGTCTGCATCACCACCGGAATCAATCCGCGGGCATTTTACACTTCGCTCGTGGTCGTCTTGTGAAAGATCCTCCGAAGCACTTCTTTTCGAACTTCGGCGATCATCACCCAGACCGCGTTGAGATGAATCCAAGCTCTGCAGCTTTCTCAACGCAGCGTGACCTGCTTGCTTGTACGGCTGTGTCCCGTTTAACTCGCTCAGATAATGACGGCAAATTGACGTCACCGTCACGATTTCGAGATGGTTCTTCCTCTGGTTGCGCGGCAGGTTGCTTCTGAGGCATGGAGAGAGTCTCCACGTCCGTAGATGGAGAACATGTGAGCAGATTTCCCATTGGTAGCACGACTACAAATACTTGAGTGTGCTTTCGATTCTAAGTACCTGGCGACCGGCAAAATTTACATCACTCCTCGGCAACTTCAAGATGCATTTGTTTTGCTCCATTTTGAAGGTACCTCTTCGGCGTTGCCCTGTAACTTACACACTAATAAATCTTTTGCCAATATGACTAAGACCAACCTACTGCTGCTGTCATTTGTCTTCCAGAAATGCATGAATATTGGTACAATATTCGTTCCACTGCGCATCTTTTATCAGCTCGTGATTCTCCAGTTGCATGAATGTCGCTTCTGGGTGCACCAAACCTCATGTTAAATTCATCTGTCATCTGCCTTAAGTTGTGCTCCCCGAACTTCTCGAACAATTAGAGTGGCTTCGACATGGCCATTTTTTGGCGTAAGGACCAGCTTCCACACCATCTTTGGGCTCCAACGCCCGTACCCGCTCGCGATTTGGCCCTCGTATTTGTTCACATCAGCTTACTCCAACTACGATCTCCTCCGAAGTAAACAATCTGCAATGGTAAAATTTGAAGGGATCAACAGGTAAGTTGCTCAAAATGCTAAGTGGAGGATCAGTTTCTACGGAAGAATCCAAATTCTGTGTACTAACTCGAACTGGTTGAGCTAGATCTTCATGACGCTCTGACGAAGATAGGGTCGCATCTCATCAGTTAGAGCTTCGCATTGACTCTTCACTTGTTCTTCTCTGGCTAGCTGAGTCGGAGGATCGCGCACTAGACTAGCAACACCGTCAATCTGTGCATTGTGCGTCGTGAGTTTGCCGTTCACCGCATCAAGCCAGGTTTTCAGCTTCGACTGTAAGGCTCGGATCTCTTTATCATTTCGCAGTAGCTCCCCATAGAGCAATGCAAGTTTTTGATGACATCCAGCTTCGGGCGTTGGCACTTCAGCAAGTACTTGGGGCTGTCTTTCGTTTAATTCAGCTTCTTTACCACTCCACTTGTGAACCAATACATCAGCCAGCGCCTTATCTCGCTGCATCTCCACCTCGTTAATTGTCAAGATAGCCTCTTCGACCTGGCCGATAAGCTCAGCAACTTCCTCCTCGCTGATATCGTTGATATTCGCAACATGCTCGAGAACGTCATTGATCGCAGTTTCATGGACTACGATCTGCTCAGAGAGGCGAATGTAGTGTACAACTAGGTGAGCCTTTGACTACAGACTCCGTGTGTGTACAATCTCGACGTTTGAAGTTGTTGAGACGGAAGTGATTAGGCAGGAGATCTCGCGGACTCGTGTTCACGTGGACCATAGCAATAGTCCTTGTAAGCGCGTCTCGTTGCGTCGCAACGTGCGTCGTACTGGGTCCTTTTGCTTGGGCTACAGTAAAACCTGCCTGGACTTGGGCTTCTGATCCGTGTACGTGGCTTTTGTTTATCTCGAATTCTCATGTACTGTCGAACACGGCTGTAAGAGTAGCACTGTCGATAGCGCCGCTCCTCTTCAGGGTCGTTCTGCGGTATTTGCCAAATGAGTAGACACTGACACCTCTAGCGTCCAACCAACGCTTAAAGTCGTCTTCGTACTTCATCACGCCCTCCCCGGGAGAAAGGAAACGTTCTTCCCGGGCTTCCATTGCTCTTGTGCGCGCGGAATGGCAATGGAATCGGCGAAGTGACCATCACTCTTCTTCAACTTTGACTATTTTTTTTTTAAAGAAAATCAAAGTTGAAGTTGTTAACAGAACCATTGAGACGTTCGAATGAACTGGAGGCTCAAACTAGATCAAGACTAATGCCAAATTTGTGGCGTCGCCGGATTGATGACGGTGTTAAGGAATCGTGTATTTGTTCAGCTCGAAGGATCTTAAGACATCGCTGCCAGTGAAAAAAAGCAAGTATATTTCTACCGGCTTACATGAACGACTTGTCGACCCACCAGGCGGAGTTGAAGTCACTACCAAGGATTTCCGTTATGGTCACAGGGCTCTGCAGCGTTCCGCTGAAAGCTACACGCTTGTTGGTCGCCGCTCCGGCTCCTCTGTTCTTGTACTCCTTGAAGTAGACGTTGGCTGTATTGTTGTCACCATTCCATTTCTGCCACCCTTCTGGGTTAATAACATCGCTGAGATCACTGTTCTGGAAAACGACACGAGCATACGGGCGCCACGGACGGCCTAGGAAGGCTTGTTCAGGTTTCGAACCGAACACACGGACGTTGTTGAACACGTACTCGGACGGGTTCGAGTTATCGGTGCGGCCGTTAGCAGTGACACATCCGTACCCCACGGACTCAATATCGCAGGACTCGAACCAGGCTTTCGCGTACAGACCAAAAACGAAGTCGATGGCTCCGCTGATGTACGACTTGGCGAAGAGCGCAGGACCATTGTTCGCGTACAGAGTGTCTTGGTAGCCCGTGATCTTGCAAGCGTAAATTCCGTAGTTAGCACCATCGACCTTCATCGCAATAGCCTGACCAACGTTTCCAGCCGTATTGGCAACGTTGAGGTTGTACACTTTCACATTGCTTGACTTGAGCAGCAGCGTGGTGGTGTAATCGTTGCGGTTTTTGGTGATGCTAGCAGGGACATCCCTTTGCGCCATGGCGTGGGTGATAGTGACCTGGTTCGACGCGTACGAAGTCGTATCACACGTATAACCCTGTACAATTAGTTTGCCCTTGAGCTGCGGGATAATGACCTTCTCCTTATATGTGCCTGGCATCAAGAAGAGCGTGTGGTCTCCCGTCGAGGTGGACAGCTTGGTCACCCCTTCTGACACGGTTTTGAAACTGCCATTGTAGACACCCGTGGCATCAACGACGATGGCACCGGGAGGGGGCATAGTGCGCGTGTTCGGCCCGGTGCAAGCACCTTCCGCAGTGGCAATCACGCCGGCAAGAGCGGAGAAAAGAGCAAGAATCGACATGGATGTGGAGACTTGGGTCGAGAGGGGTAAATTAGGAAGTGATTGCTTGCCCAAGAACTCGTGCGGTGGGCTGGCTCAGCGCGTTGGAGGTATTTGGGATCGAATGGTAAAAGCCGCAATCCAGTTTGGATGATGTATTTAAGATTGTGGTTTGTCGGAATACTTAACTGTTGCGACTTTCATGTTAAATTATTAGCACATTACAACTGCTAACAAGAAAGCAAGCTGTCCCGGCTCAAAAAATGCATGGAGCAGTGACTAACAGTCAAGAATTTTAGGGTGAGGGCCGCAAACTGAATCCGGGTTGCTGCTGGGTTGCTGCTTGATTGCTTATCGAAATCCCTAGTTAAGCAAATAACTTCGGGAAACTGAAGCATTTTGGTAATAGCATGTGTAATGCACAGTACCACGTAAAACGGAGTATTATTATTCTCAAAAAGGTTTACTCATGGTGCTGTAAGCACTGTCAAGTAGGTTAGCCTTAAACGGTAAAGTCGGCTCTTTTAGGAGTCACCATAACCGACACACTAACATTACTAAACGAACCTTCGCAGCAAAAAAAAAAAAAGCGGGTCAGATACAGAATCATCGACCGACAGTTGACGTTGGTTAAGCAGTGTTGTCGGTTGTAAGGCCCTGAGGATGTCTATAGATTCCACGCAATAGCACAAAATTCAGCACTACAACCGTAAGCCAGTAAGAAAGAAAACGTTATTGTCGACGAGTACGTGTAGGCTTTTGGGTCTTCAGTTCATCGATTATCCGCCTACGATGGAGGACTGACCACTCAGTCCTCTTTCATTAAAACCAACCCGCAAACCTTTTTTCAAAAATAATACTTAATAAGTTTAAAAGTATTGTTTCAAATATCATCATCTTCGTCCGATATTCCATAGTTTAGACATTCGAGATACCTGAAAATTTCCTGAGTTTTAAAAACGAACGATATGCTAGACTTCTGCCCGATATTCCCACATTTTAAGAGGCACGTTAACCATCCCTTGGGTGTGTTTTGGAACTTGGGTTTCTCGTTTAGAAAACTAAAAAAAAACATTGTGCAGCTGTTCGACAGTAATTTGCTGCCATCAAGCAGACAGACGCTCTATCGATAGTGTGTAAATGACACATAGCCCTCACCTATACCAACACGGTATACCGTAATGGACCAGTGATTCAAACATGCGAAACCCCGTGTTGATGTGGTGCCAGCAACTGCACATATCCTAGTCTATTCGAGGTAGAATTTATACCTAACGCTTAGAAAGCGAATGGTACAAGTGCTGGAGTTCTCGAAACCATAGATGATCAATGATGGAAGTGGTACATGTACGTACTTGGTAGCACCGGCAAAGGATTGTAGGTGCGCCTTATCCTGTTTACTGCTGGATAAGTTATCATTGAAGACCACGGTACAACTGGAATGGGCTTCACGAAAAACGTCCCCGAGAAAATATTATTTCCTACGACATGACCGTCACCTTCCAACTTTGAGCATTTAAGTAGTAGGCTTCGTCACTTCGAGCTACAGCGTCATCAAATTTTGCAACCCTCTATTAGCGAACGTCACATGCACGCAAGGCAGTCCAAGCTGGCGTTAGCAATCATCTCGCACAGACAACGCAGCTGACAACTTGTCGGATAACGTCTTGGACTCGGCAATCAAATCTCCATCTTCCATTTTCAATGGAATCTCATGTTCTGTACGCAAGGACACGTGTTCAGTTCCAATTTCCCGGCTTTTTATTGATTGTAAATAACAGCGGGGGCGATAGACTTGTTAGAAGCTCCCTGCGACTACAACCTCCACAATTTTTATGGCTTTGACACCGACGAGCCTGATCCTGTACGATTGTGTGCGCTAGCGCTATGCGACGTATTATCTTTTGTTCGTTCGAGTTCCAAGCACGGCGAAAACGGCGTTCTACTGTACTGGGCCTTCTTAAAATGGTTGGAAAGGCAACTTTCGTCTTAGAGCCACCGATCAAATTGTTTGTCGTACCGTTTCATCCACTCGTGGCCTGAACAGCTTGGGAACTGGCCTCGACGAGGAATCGAACCACTAACTCGGCCAATACGGTCTTCACTCATGACACGCTCCAACGTCAAAGTTCGAACTAGGCAATCGGTGGATAACCCACGACCCATCACTGTTGAGGCGACACAATCGCTTACCCTAGATCAAATAGGACAACAGAACAACATGTTCCTTGACTGGGTAACTTCGGGCATGTAGACGCAACAAGATGATTGCTGCAAGCAGTGACGCTCGGTATTTTACTTTATGTTAACAGCTTAATCAAGTTCGTGTACGTAGTACATGATTGTTTTAAAAGATTGCCGACCATACTGCAAATTCCTTCGTCGACGAACACGAATGCTGTGCCCAGCTTCTCGCGTTCTTTTATTCAAGATAACTCTCCCCTTCAATTCTAACTCCAGTCGACACACATTTCCTGAATCTCTGTAAAGTGACAACCCTGATCTGTGATCTGTGCATTGATACAAGCAAGTCGATTCTGTAGTTTGAACCGAACATCTACCTTCTTATCGTCTTTAACCTTCAACTTGTATGTCGCACACAGCTTTTCGTGCGAGGCAACAGAATCGGATTGTAGCGTGGATGTACGTTGCAGCTCCGATCTCTTTTCTCTCCACTCGTGTACAACCAGAGAAACGAACGCAGCATCATGACGTTGCTTCTCTTTACTAATTGGCACCGTCAACTCCTTACTTTGATTCAGGTGTTCCGTCGCTTCCGCTTTTTTCAATGCTTATTATCTGCATCGCGTATAATTGAGAGTCTTGCATCGTCGTTTCGTTCATCGCGATCTCGGTTATCAACAGAGTGTAATCGTTCACCAGTCATTATTTTCATTATCCACGTTGTAGCACTGGCTTGTCTATTAATTGAGACTCAGTGGCTGTGTTTAGTTTTTTTTTTTTATCTGACACAGAACACGTCAATTGTTTTAACTTGTAGGACATTTCAGAGGACGGCGGCTTGCCATTCACAGTACTGGTGTAGCCGAAACGAAGCGTGTGGATTCTTCGCTTGAGCTCTTCAAACCGGCGATCCACTTCGGCTTCCCGCTGCTTCGTGGTCTCAATCATCTTCTTGGCCCAGGTAAATCTTCTGATTTGGGTTATGTGTAGTGTGTAGCAGTTGACTGAGCACTAGTAGCAGGTTGAACGGCTATTCCGAGTAGATTTCGCAGCTGCGTAGGCTTCGCAATTGCATTGCAGACAGTTTGTTGAATTGCGAACAGAGGAAGACAAATCCGACGTCAATACAATTTTGGCTTTAATTACTGTAACACAGAACCACACACGAAATCATCATGTCGAGGCGACGGTGAAGATATTAAAGAAAATGCGAAAAGGATTAGGAGTCGTAGTGATCTTTTAGCGACGAGAGAGATGACTTCGGATAAGTTTTGGGAAAACGTGAAGCGGTACTGGTTAGTGACGAATGAACGAGAGTGTGCGGTTCTTCTTGCCGAGCCACCGCTCGAATTTTTAATCATACTAGGTTAAGTTTTTATCGGGTACTCCAGTAGCAGGAACACAGGACAGGCCTGGTGGCAGAGTAAGACTCCTTCGTTGTGCAATAGATTCGCTACAAATGTTCCCAAGCTCATTGGTTGAGGATCTTGCGCCACCACCATGGTCCGTGGTCATGGACTTTGTCGTGGACGTTGAGCTGGCACCAGTCCGTACAATTGACTTGCTTTCGCTTTGAAGAGCATGTCGGCATAAGAGAATGTAGGAATAAGACCATAAGGAGATCTAGAGTAAAAGCCCTTTTATTCTGCTAAAACAAATGTATAAAAAGACCTTTTTTTTGAATTGTGACCAAACGAAGAATGCGCGCACGATGTCGAAATACAGACGATCCCCTCGGTAATAATCCCTAGAATGGAATACTCCTCAATAGCAATACATTAGCGTTTACCGTTGACCAGTCACTTACAAACCCCAAGATATTATTCCCTCTCACCCCTCAACCGTAAAATGAAATACAGACTGACGCACGCCTTGTGCCGCGATTTGGTGGCCAACCGCGAGACCGGAAGTGAGTCCAGTCAATAGCTTTCAAGACCGTAGATTCTGTGACCCCATGAATTTAGCTCTGGGACAAACTAGGTATGTGAGCATGGTGGTAACATATTTGTACAGCAGTCGTTGAGTATTGGTGAGAGTGAGGTAGACTGGTTGGACTAGAGAGGAGGGTATCTTTGTGTGGTGAGGCAAAACTGGCAATAGGAGAGCAAAACAGGGTGAATCGCCAGTAACGAGCTACATCAGTCGTCTCCATTAGTATATTTTGTGAATTGTTCCACTGAAGGTACTCGGAACCATTTTTATGGTACATTCGTGGATAGGAATACCCTTAGACAGGAATAAATTGGAGGCTCAACGCAATAACTACCAAAGGGATCGTCTGTAAGTCCTATGATTTCACTTTACTGGTGGTGCGTGTTCAAAAAGGGAGCCAACAAAAAAAAAGTAAGATTTGCGTCCCCACGGCGCCTATAAAACGCAAAATTTGCTGCAAAATGTAAATATATAGCTTCTCTTCATTTCGAGACTTTAAAAGAGACTTTGCAAAAAAATAAATGTACCCTGACTGTAATGTACTGAAACATATGGCCCTGTTCGTGGTTACTTGTAAGCTTACCAGCTTACATGAACGACTTGTCGACCCACCAGGCGGAGTTGAAGTCACTACCAAGGATTTCCGTTATGGTCACAGGGTTCTGCAGCGTTCCGCTGAAAGCTACACGCTTGTTGGTCGCCGCTCCGGCTCCTCTGTTCTTGTACTCCTTGAAGTAGACGTTGGCTGTATTGTTGTCACCATTCCATTTCTGCCACCCTTCTGGGTTAATAACATCGCTGAGATCACTGTTCTGGAAAACGACACGAGCATACGGGCGCCACGGACGGCCTAGGAAGGCTTGTTCAGGTTTCGAACCGAACACACGGACGTTGTTGAACACGTACTCGGACGGGTTCGAGTTATCGGTGCGGCCGTTAGCAGTGACACATCCGTACCCCACGGACTCAATATCGCAGGACTCGAACCAGGCTTTCGCGTACAGACCAAAAACGAAGTCGATGGCTCCGCTGATGTACGACTTGGCGAAGAGCGCAGGACCATTGTTCGCGTACAGAGTGTCTTGGTAGCCCGTGATCTTGCAAGCGTAAATTCCGTAGTTAGCACCATCGACCTTCATCGCAATAGCCTGACCAACGTTTCCAGCCGTATTGGCAACGTTGAGGTTGTACACTTTCACATTGCTTGACTTGAGCAGCAGCGTGGTGGTGTAATCGTTGCGGTTTTTGGTGATGCTAGCAGGGACATCCCTTTGCGCCATGGCGTGGGTGATAGTGACCTGGTTCGACGCGTACGAAGTCGTATCACACGTATAACCCTGTACAATTAGTTTGCCCTTGAGCTGCGGGATAATGACCTTCTCCTTATATGTGCCTGGCATCAAGAAGAGCGTGTGGTCTCCCGTCGAGGTGGACAGCTTGGTCACCCCTTCTGACACGGTTTTGAAACTGCCATTGTAGACACCCGTGGCATCAACGACGATGGCACCGGGAGGGGGCATAGTGCGCGTGTTCGGCCCGGTGCAAGCACCTTCCGCAGTGGCAATCACGCCGGCAAGGGCAAAGAGAAGAGCAAGAGTCTGCATTAACTGTTGAGGCTTGAGTGGCTTGGAAGAGAAATTGGAATATGGTCTGCCTGTCCAAGAAATCCTAGTGTAGCACCAAGGATTACTTCCACCTTCATGATCTGTATCACGATACTGTACCTACAACAACGGATCACAGTGCACAGCGTGACAAACCGAGCTCGGTGCGTGTGTGAGCTAATGCTGCCCTTTGTCGCGTACTGTACAGCATGGGACGGCATGTACCGGTATGAATATCAGTGTGATGCATGTAATCATGCTGCAAGTACATGTACTAGAAACAAAACGGAAAACGAACGGTGTGGTATGCGAAACAATCGCTTGCCGATGGAGAAATCAGGGCAAAGCTTTAATAACCCGGTAGTTCCTTCTCGTTACGCCAATATTAACATACTTCCTCGAGGAAGTACAGTGTAAGGTCCCGTAACGAAAAATAGGGAGTCCAAATCGGACAAATGCATCCTGTTTTGGATAGGTCTCAGCGTGACTTTGAACTTATATTTTGCCATTTTGAATCTGACAATGTTTATTAACGTATTCTATAGTTTAAAGTATTCTGTTCGATAACGCCAGCAACTATCTGCTAGTGCGCCTGCAGTCCGCACCTCGTTTTAACTGCGTCGCATGTCACCCGAACGGCACATTGTTTGACTGCTAGAAGCTGACGTTCCTGGGAGAACTGTACATAACGTTAGGTACAGGTTCATTGCGCTGTTTACGCTTACTTAACGTAACGTTGAAATTAGCCATGTGGCAGTCTATCTACAATGTCACAGGTTGTGACCTTAAACTTAAACTGAAAACTGATCTGATTGGCCGATGGGAAAAGATTTTTACTGAATGGCATCCCGGCCAATCAGCATGCGTACCGACTTAGAATTTTAAAAGAGAGTTTTGAATTACATCAATTATTATCAAATGCTTCACATGTCAAATTGCTTACATAAATGACTTGTCCACCCACCACGCAGACTCGTAGCTCTCGCCAAGGATTTCCGTGATGGCCACAGGTTTCTCCAGTGTTCCACTGAAGCCAACACGCTGGTCGGTCGCTGCCCCAGCTCCAATGTTGTTGAACTCCTTGAAGTAGAGGTTAGCCGTGTTGTTGTCTCCGTTCCACTGCTGCCAGCCTGCTGGGTTGATAACATCGCTGAGATTACTGTTCTGGAAAACGACACGAGCATACGGGCGCCACGGGCGTCCCAGGAAGGCTTGTCCCGGATTGGATCCAAAGACACGAGCGTTGTTGAAGACGTACTCGGACGGATTCGAGTCGTTAGTGCGGCCGTTAGCAGTGATGCAGCCTTTGCCCACAGACTCGATGTCGCAGGACTCGAACCAGGCCTTCGCGTACAGACCAAAGACGAAATCCACAGCACCATTAATGTACGACTTGGCGAAGAGTTCCGGACCCTTATTCGCGTACAGAGTGTCTTGGTAGCCCGTCAGATTACAGGCGTAGATTCCGTAATTTGCACCGTCGACCTTCATAGCAATAGCTTGACCAATGTTACCGGCCGTGTTGGCAACGTTGAGGTTGTACATTTTCACGTTACTAGCCTTAAGCAGCAGCGTGGCGGTGTAGTCGTTTCGGCTCTTGGTGATGTTGGCAGGAACATCCTTTTGCGCCATGGCGTGCGTGATAGTGACCTCATTTGCAGCGTACGACGTCGTATCACAAGTGTAGCCCTGCACAACAAGGTTACCCTTGATTTTCGGGATCGTTACCTGCTCCTCGTAGGTGCCAGGCATCAAAAAGAGAATGTGCGGGGCCGTCGTATTGGAAAGCTTGGCCACTCCTTCAGAGACAGTCTTGAAGCTGCCGTTATAGGCCCCGGTGGCGTCAACGACGACGGCACCGGGTGGGGGCGTTGTGCGCGCATTGGGTCCGGTGCAAGCACCCTCCGCAGCTGCGACGAGACCAGCAAGTGCGACGAGAGGGGCAAAGATCTGCATTGTTCGTTGAGACTTGAGTGGTGAAGGGGGAAACAGGAAGTGAATTACCCACCTATCCGGCATTGAAATCCTCTGCGGACTGGCTCAGCGTCATAGACTCTATGGCTCTATGGTAGAGCCATGTCCAATGGACATTGGCAATGTCACATTGCCCATTCGTGTGTTCGTACAGCTGCAGATCATGAGTGCACAGAGTGCCGAACCTTACACTGTACTAATAAGGTACAGTATCCATGGATAGCAGTACACGAACCGTAATACAAAGTATACATGATTGGTACATTGCAGTGAAGGATCCTCACTGGGCCTGACTCACGTGCCAGCAGTGTGAATCGCGAAGCACAGCTGTGTACGTTGACCATGATCGAATGGTGTGCACAGGATGCCGATCACGCTTTTCAACGAGCATGCTCTACGTTTGGAGAAATTGCCACTTTGCAAGGATCCAAATCTGACAAGTGTATTCGAAGAGCATGTTCTAGTAGAGCTTCTACGTCTGGAAAGATTCCCATTTTTCAAGAATCCAAATCTGACAAGTGCATCCTGTTTCGGTAGGTCTCATGGACACATATTTTTCCGGTTAGCGATAATTTCACCGTACCTCTATCGAATACTGGTAGTAATACGTGTACTCTGTCAAATTACGGGTGAGCGTAATTGCCTGCTACTGGTGCTTGTTTGGTAAGGTAGTTCAAAGGGAATCGGCACAAAATGCACCTTTGGTGGTCGATGCGTCGCAACAAACAGCAAAAACCTGGACTCTCGGAACGCGCGGAACTATCAGCTGGCAGTACATGACATGTCATCGCTCTGTATATCACTGATAATTATACCAAAATGCACCAGGCCAGTGCCGTTGCACACGACGACAACTGCGGGATTCAATGCTCTGACTCGAAGTTCACGCTGTACTCACGGTCCCGGCATTACTTGCTGTTAGTTTCCATGACCTGATTCACCATACAAATTTTACCGCTGTCGCTGTGACTCATATAATACATACAGCGTTCCATACTCGTCGATCATTCATTCCATTGTCAGGTGAAGTGTATTGGGTATATTTACCATGCGAGCACTAAGTTCATGTTGATCAGCATTGGATACCACAGGACGATATTTGCCAGAAGTGAATGCTCTGCAGTCGCATGTCATCCAACCGCCACATCTCCGGTTCTAAAGCCTGGAGAGAGCGCAATCCATAGCACTCGGTATTTTTCTCGAGATCTTCTAAAGACCAAACACAAACGCGTTGGTTCCACAAATGATAAAACGACCGCAGCGGGGCCATAGCTGTCAAAAAATCCCAGTCGTCGAAAGAGATGATATAGCGGTCCCCAAAAACAACATACCCGAGCCGAAGCAGCTCGTAGCTGTTCAAATATACGGCTGATTGAACGACATTATATTGCTGTTTCTTGAGTTCTGTCTGCGAATTTGAAGGAGTGACGCTCATTTTATTCTCGGAGGAAGATCTTGACGTTGCACTATCAAGTGCAGTCAGGTAGACTGGGGAGAGCCCCAGACCACCAACGTGTTTTGCTCTTAAGGCAAATGCTTTTTCAACTCCAGACAGAACTTGTTGTTTTCCTTGTTTTGGAATAGGCAATGGACGTGCCATAAGTAAAGGCAAGAGATTGATACCAAGTACAGCCAACTTGGTCCAGAAAATTCCTACGACGCGGCCATTCATCCTCCATGCTAGATCACTCACGAAATAGTCCAAGAGCGTCATTTTCTTCACTTCATCCGAGAACACCAGTGTCAATACTCGGCCGTCAATATCATTCCATACAGGAGAGGCTGCCAGTTCGCTTCGAAAATAATGTATCAGACAAAGGAATGCCACAGAGGGCATGAAAAGTGTATCAGTCATGCGGCGTCGAGTGATCTTGGCCAGTACATTGAGTAGGCTATAATACATCAACATTAGCTGCGCAATCGATGGATAGATGGTAAACCAGGCCTCGGAAAGTCCAGCCTGTTGGCCTTCAAAACGACAGCCTACCGTCCAAAACGCGGTTAATGTCATCTTAAGCTGAGGAAGCATCGAGAATAGTAGAACATCGAATATTCTGTAGCTTGAGACACATCCGAGACCACCGCCATAGCATGGGATCTTACCTCGTACTGTGCCATTGTGCAGTGCTATTAGTGACAATATCCATCGGATCAGCACGAGAATGACGGACAAATTCGACACTAGCGTTTCCCAATCGTAAATAATACGAACCACATCTGCTTGAGTTGTTTCATAGAGGTAGAGGCCATAGGACAATCCGTCTTGAATAGCAATAGAGTTCAGATTGTGAGGATACTCGTAAGTGGTAAATTTTGTTCCCCATCGATTGACTTTTGGTTCTGCTAGACAGTCTTGTTGATTGGAGCAATCCACCTCGAGCCCAGACATTGTATCGAACATTCGGTACGCCATATAATAAGGAGGCCCGGGGTTGGAGCTCGTCAAGTCAGCAAACCAGCGTCCCCCTTCCAAGTCTTCATACCATCCATTCTTCCAGACTCCACCAGGCTGCTTTAACCATTCCTCAGTACGCTGAAATCGTACAGTCCGATTTACCGCACGTAGACTAGCTTTGGTTGCATTACTCCCACCATTCGCGCTTCCAGAATAAGCGTCTTCAAGCCGAAACATGCACGATTCACCATGCCATGTTGGTACAGTGTGACGAGCTTGCTCAGTGTTATCCCAGAAAGGCATGATGAGCACTGGTAGCGAGTATGGGATTCTGAATAAACGCTTGCTGTCAACCCCGTCAACAACTCGAAGTGCGTCTGTCGTAAGATTAGAGTAGCCCAACAACGCACACGCACCCAGGATGGAGTCGAGCGTCGCAGAGATCAAGCTGCAAATATCCTCGTACGACGAATATACTGACGAATCTAGCGAATCCGAGGCTTTATCAGCTCTTCGCTTTACCAATCGATATCCATGACGAGCTTTTCCAGTCGAATCCTCCAAGATGGCTTCGGTTCCTTCGGACGCCAGCAATGAACTCACAAGTCTTGGCTCGTATTTTCTACCATAACGTACGCAAGCAACCACTCGATCGGTATACGGGGTATCACTCGTCCCTACGATTTCATAAGGCCCACGACTCGGATCACGGCCGTAAAAGATACGCTGAGTAGTTGTGGTTGTATTTCGCACGGCACCTAAGAGCTGAGCGAGAACGAGGAAGATGATGCTGATGCAGGTGATCCAATGGTACAGCGCACCAAAAATCTCTACTGTTGTCGGCTGGCGTCGCACCCGGAAGACTGCCGTTGTATCTTTACTTTGTCCGCATAGACCTCGCATCCTTTGCTGTATGATTCCAGGGCAAATACGAGGCTTCCGACGGTATGACGTTGACGTGAAGCGCATTGTTGCAATCGGTCAGCGTATGTCACCAAGTAAACGAAACGATTCAGACGACAATGTTTCTCAAAATAACTCACAATTTTGCATTTTTTTTTCTTAGAAAATGATGTAAGAAATTATGACTATTGTATTTTATGATCAGCTTTCGATCGGAGCATGACTTTTCTACTTTAAAGTCTTGTTAAGCAAGGCAAGTTCCGATCCAAAACTGATCAGCACAAAATAGATTGTCTAATGGGACCGTAGAAAAAAAAAATTAACGAGTATCCACTGCCATTTTTCCCGGAAACGTTTTAGTTGAGAGTTCTTTCCCATTGATGTGAAAAGCGCCGACAACTTGTCAGCTGGAAGAAGGCCGGACAAGGTTCTGACAACATACGCGTCGTCGGCCCACATATCGCCCATCTTCTTTCAGTAATTAAACACGTACTTCAGCCAAAAGGAACAGTTCCGCTCGGTTAACGGATTGCCATGCTTCACTACATCAGCGAGTACGTAGTGTGGCGTCGAGTTGAGCCTCAAGGCGGCTTTTAGGCCCAACTTTATCGCGACCGTGCTGATTAGGTTGCTCAAATATCCTCTTTCTTCCTTGCACACGAATTCATTGTCGACGTTACTTGTGCCGCCATCTCTCAGGGAGCGTATCACAGCAGCCGTCCCATCTGCATTGGGCAATCGAGCTTATATTTGCGGCTCAGCCATCCCCTCGGTTCGCTCGAGGTGCGCCGAGCCAAAAGTGACCAGGACGACTATCATGGTCAACAGAACAGTAGCGCTTCACGTACGATGACATTGAGACTTGTAGGTTGAGAATCTTGGGCCGAGTACAGGGTAGGTTTGTTTAGCTTGGCGAGGCTTGCCTGGAAAATTACGGAGTGAATTTAGCAGAATCCGATGGTATTCTAGGTGAATGCCGTTGTTTTTTTTTGCTTGGTAAAGGCAGAATGACTCTTGCTGAGCTAGTTTCACTTGGTGTTGGAAGTTGGTAACGTCGCCATTTGGTTGGATAACGTGCATGCCACCAGGTTTGTCCTCTATGACCCTGCGTGAAATTCGTAAATTAGTCGCGGTGTAAGCAGCTTTGTTGTATTAGGTATCTGGTTCTGTGGCGCCAGAGACCAGTCTGCATTGTCCGCTGTACTTCTGCAACAGCAGGCGGGGAGTAGGAATATCTGACTGCACAATAACGATCTGCCTTCATCACCCTCACCATTGAGGATAAAATAAAATTTGAAACTAAAAGATGAAAGTGCACAGTACAGCGATATGAAGTGGACAAGTTCCAAGTCCTAGTGCAAACGCATGGAGTGATCGCAGCATTTCTTCTGTATGCCATTCGGTAATTCTGGTGTCACAAATCTGCGGAGAATGGTCTTGGGCTCGTTCAACTATTTGATGCGCTCCCCTTCTTCAACCAACTCATCGCTTGCATCTGATTCTCTTCATTTGACCGTAACAGATCCAAGCACAGTAGCCGCCCTCGTTCGCGCAGCATTGATCTCTGCGCTAACTTGCCATCAAGAGCTCTGGATATCTCTCTTAGCTCTTGGAATTGTGCATCTCTGTCCGTGTCTGTCGCCTTCAACCAACTCAGTCGGTTGTTCAGCTTGATTCGTAAAGGCAGAATCTCATCATGGTTCTGCTGAAGCTTATCATACACTGCCACCACCTCGTCATGAGATAATTCCTCTGAATCACCAACCAGTGATTGTATACCACGCTGCAAATTTTCTTGTTTATCTCTCCATTCGTGCGCTATTAGAGAAGCCAAAGCAGCGTTTTGACGATGTTTCTTTCCGACGAGTTCATTACGTACAGCACCAGTATGCATTGAATTCTCCGTTGCACTATCCACGTGAATCAAAAGCTCAGTCTTGGTTCGGCTAAAGGAATTGTTAGCTGCTGCTTCGCCGCGAAAAGCTTGTCGACTCACACGAAGATAGTCCTTAATCAGCTCGTGTTCAACTGAGTCAGCTTCAACTTGCTTCGCTTTCAATAAAGTTTTAGATGCAGCTGCATAAATATCTGCATTCGCTGGTTTCACAACACCATCCTCGCTAGTTGCAGTGACCACACAATTGCCTGCACCTGGAGAAATTACATGAGCTTCATTCTTAACCATATTGTCTCGGACACCAGAGCGTTCAGCTTCGAAATCAGTTGGAGAGTATAGTGGCTCTGAAATCGTAGTTGACGATGCACAACTATATGCATCGTCTTCAGCTTTACTCAAGCTATTCATTCCGTTGTCAACGGGAACACTTTGATCAAATACCGAGGTGTCCATCGTGTTGACATCATCAAACTCAAGTCGTGGGCGTTTAGAATATCGATCCATTGACAGCTCTTTCCTGGCATTCTGGTTCTTTAAGCGCTGCATGGCGCATTTCCTGTCCATCAACTCGTAAGCTCTAATGTAGGCAAAGCACTGTCGTAATCGTCGCTCCTCCTCGGGGTCGTCATGCAACATTTCCAGGGTTAAGTTCTTCTTCGACAGCCAGCGTTGAAAGTTCAACTCGTAGCCACTAGAAGTCTCGCCCGGCCTCAATACAACTGCGATCGGCCTCAACTTTTCCCCACGGTACATTCGTCCATTCGGTCCAAAGTCTTCCATCGCCCTTAAAAAGGCCTCCGGAGAGACCAAACGCCAGTCAAGCAACTCGCTTCGTGTTCGAAATTGTCGTTCTTGACAGTAATTTAAGGGAATTATTTCCTCGTTGTGCCTCCATTTGTCAGGCGGTCCTCGCTCTTCATAAGAAACCGGTTGCGTTTTTGTCCCACAATACTGACGACGAAGCTCCATATACCTGCTATTTGAATGGTCTAATCGAAAGAGTCGTTCGACCCCGGGGTGGCCCTGGAGAGATTCTAAGGATACGTTGCGGATCGCAAGCCAGAGCTCAAAATCTCGCTCGTATTCGACCATGGTCTCGTTTGGTCCCAATAACACGGGGATAGGGTGTAAGGGCCGGTCGTCTAGTCTTAATTGCTCTTCGTATCGCACAAACTCGTCATAGGCTACGACGCGGATGCATAATAGATCCATTCGAAGCCCGCAAGGGCGGCGCGGGGGAGACAACAGGCGCAGCATGGCATCTGGGTATTTGGTGAAGTTTTTTTTATTACTTTTTTAAACACCCAACACATACAAAATGTAATGTCTATTTTAAAAAAAAAAGAGGAAAGTGCAAATATCAACTTCGATGTACGAGCGTCCAGATATTATCGTTGAGGAATTTCCATAATCCAGTACTGTAGTAGTGTACTGATTATTCTAAATTATCAATTTAATTCATAATGTGGACAGTACGAATATTCTAAGTTCGCACTAAATAAAAACAGTAGCAGTTAGAAGGACGCATGCGTGCTGGCAGTGTACCGAAACATTCTATTGCAAGTGCACAACTGAAATGTTGGCACTTTGAGGTCCAACTTGAGATATTCTTCAGATTGTAGTACAATGCGCTCTGTGAGTCGCGGAATTGCCACGTCGACGTCCGTAATCGATGAATCGCTACGTGTATTTGCGGAGCTCGGTGAGGCCACATCGCCTCCCTTTGACAGCAGAACATTGGTTTATCCCCTACAATCCTATATATGCATCAGGACTTCTTTCATCTCGCAGCACTTTCGTTTTTGCAAGATGCCTCCATTTAACAAGCGCAAAAAGCACGCACGAAACTTTAAACGAAAGGCTGACGGCTCCTTCTACAAGCTTAACTTAAATTGGAATCTACCGTCGCGCCATCCCAGAACCGAAGATGCTCTGGAGTCATCTCTTTGTCGCGAGTAGCTCCTTACTACTCTTTCTGTTGACAGTCCGCATGGTCTGCTTATCGCCGGAGTCTTGAATAGCACCTCCAGCCTTGCTCGGGGTCAAATATTTTTCTTTGCAACGTCAGACGTCGGAGTTCCAGGCTCTGGAATCTGTAAAATCGAGTTAAAATCAATGTTCCGACGTCAGATTTGAACAGCAAAGTTTCGAGCTGAATGCCTCTTCAAAGCCAGTCCTTGAACTCATACTCGTAGTTTTTGACAGTTTCCCCCGGGCCTCAGCAATACAGGAATTCGGCTTGACTTAAATTCTGAAATCCATCATACCTTTTATACGTTAGCCTTGCATACCTTTTTGCTTGATCGATGCAAAGCAACCACCAATCGGAAATTTTCTTTGATCAAAGTTTTTTCATAAATATAACCGGAAAAACGCGACATGAAAAATCAGGCTCGGTAGCTCATGATGAAATCAAACAAAGCCTAAATTGCATCTTGCTACCAAAGTGCAGTCAGTAATTTATTGGTGGACAAAATTGAACGACGAAAACTTCTTTGCATATCACTTGACTTCACGCATGATCGTTCTCCTCAAGCAACTCCACTATCATAAGTCGTATCTGTTCGTTCGACCACAGAAGATACACGCAACCAAGTTACGCTGTCCAACCAACAGCGTAACTTGGTTGCGTGTTCTCTCGGTTAATGCTACTCCAATTTAAATGATACTCCCACACCTCGTCGAGCTGACAGTATTTTTTGGAGTCGGTTAAGTCAATTGCTCTTGCAAATTTTTGTATTGCTTGATTTTTGTACATATTTGCCAGGTCGGGGACACTGTCGCCATTATTATTATGTTCAACTAAAAACTGCCCCAGCTATCAGTCGTGCGCAACGATATCTGCTCTTGTAGCTCCACGGTGAGCCTTGTGTACCCACTGTCTTGCCACCGTCTTCGTTAATCCGAGAATTATTTAATTTTCATTTTTCCCTATCAGAAGTGTCTACGGGTTGATGACTTAACTACCTTGCCGTGGAGTTTTATTAAGCAGGTTAGCTTAGATTTTGCTCGCAGATTCAATGCCCGCAGTCCATGGGTCTTCGACCACGTACTTACTCGCGTTTGGGAACTGCCAATTGGCTAGTAAGCTAGTCAAAGCGGGGAAATCGGAGGTGATCTAGCTTTGGAATTGTGAGTCGATTGTTTCATTGCCCTCCACGGTAAAGTAATACCATCTGACAGCATTGTCGTTTGCGTTTCTACTGGCATGGCATTGAAATGCTCATACAAGTCCAGCACTGACACATTCAGTTCATTGGCGACCTCCACACAAGCACGAGCGTAGTCTCCAGTAGCGGCATTCGGACGATCCACCATTCCTCGCTTAGCGTCGGTACGCTCGGCAGCTGCCTTGACTCTGGCATCTTCACCGATATGAGCTGGACTGATAAGCAAGATTTCAGCATCAGGAGCAGCGTTCTGGAATCCACGGACAATCTGGCTCAAGTTGTCCTTGTACTCTTCGATCGGAACGTGCATCTCCGAGCTGCTACCATTCACCAGCGCCGCATCATTGGTACCAAGCCAAACCGTGATCAATGATGGAGTAGTGTATGCACCAGTGGCGATTTCGTTTTCGAGCTATGGCATCACGTATTTGAGAAACCATTTCGAGTTGTAGCCTGGGAGCCACCGATGATCATATCACCCGAGTTCGGGTATCGAGCTTGGAGTCGGGATACCCAGCCGTCCACGTTCGGGTAAGTGCCCTGCTCTGTGTGTGAGCCCCCATCAACAAGAGCACAGGACGTGAGTTCGCCAACGTGGTGGTTTGCGACCGCGCAGGTAAAATGAAGAGAATTGCAAGCGTGAAGAAAACCACGACTCCGTGGATTGTTCGTTGGAAGAGTGCCACGGTGTTGACGGCAGGTTGAGTTGTGAGAGAGCCACTGGTCGGAATGTCGGGCAGCAGCTCGTTAAGGTACAGATAAAAAGTTTATCGCAGACTCGACGAGCAGCGCAAGAGCTCCGATCATCAAGAGTTGCGTGATGTTTGTACTATCCTCGATCGAACGATGCATCAAACGTGCTATTGCAGCAGATCACCGTAATGATCCTGACAAGCTCGGTGCACTATGTGTATTATACTAAGAATCTCTATGGACAACCAGTAGAAGCATTATACCAACACTGCTGATGTTGGTCCAATACATAACTGTATAGCTTTTCTAGTACGCATTTCATTTGAAGACAACTTGCCTTTTCACTACATAAGTATGCTGTGCGTTTGAAATGCCCCAGTGGACGACTCTAGCTTATCTGGTTGAGTAGTGGTGAAGGGCCTAATTGGTCTTCCGAAAGCCCACAATCTAGCATTCATAATCGGTGATTACAGGTACAATCCACGTGTTTCCCGACAGATCCGTATCACCTCGCGTGACAGACAATAGCATGTATCCTACAAGAGCGTAGTGAGCTGTATGCAACACATGATTACGTGAGGAAATATACGCGAGCAGGTACAGTGGAAGGACTCAATGGGCCGTGGTTATTGGCAGG